CTCTCACTAGATGGCACATTTGCCAGTCTGCTCCAATCATTTGTCTACTCCTTCAATTGAGAAGGAGTCAGAATTGAAGACAATCCCAGTTATCCCTTTATCTGTCTCCACCAATCAGTTATGTTCTAATATAACCATTGATACCTCTTTTTTATTTATTTTTTCAATTGTGCAGACACGACAGACTACATTTCGGAGAACAACCAGATCACTTTACTGTCAATAATGGCATAAACAAATCAACATTGCACATGATATTCAAGCACAGGGTTCATTATACCACCTTCTTAGCCTTGTAGACCTATTTCAAAGTTTAGTTTATTAGGATCCCCATTAGCTACTGTACATGCAGCAGCTACTCTTCCTGGGGTCCACATAAAACGTACAAATACATGACAAAGTACAGAACAGTTATAGTCAAGAACAGCATAAGATATTACATTAAATTCAAAATAAAAAATAAAATAAGAGTTATATATTGGAAAGACACCAAGAGACAACAAAAAAACTATTTACACACTATTCATACTGTATATACACATGACTTATTCCACATTTTGTGTCACTGGCCTACACACAATACCTCATAATGTCAAAGGGGAATTATGTTTTTAGACATTTTACAAATGAATTAAAAATGAAAAGCTGACACGTCTTGAGTCAATAAGTACTCTGCTCCTTTGTTATGGCAAGCCTAAATAAGTTCAGCAGTAAAAATGTGCTTAACAAGGCACATAATAAGTTGTATGGACTCACTCTGTGTGTAATAATATGGTTTAACACGATTTTTTAATGACTACCTCATCTCTGTACCCCACACATACAATTATCTGTAAGGTCCCTCAATCGAGCAGTAAATAAAATAAAAAAAACAGATTCAACCACAAAGACCAGGGAAGTTTTCCAATGCCTCTCAAAGAAGGGCACCTATTGGTATATGGGTAAAAAAAAAAAGCTGACATTGAATATCCATTTGAGCATGGTGAAGTGATTAATTACACTTTGGATGGTGTATCAATACACGCAGTCACTACAAAGATACAGGCGTCCTTCCTAACTCAGTTGCCGGAGAGTAAAGTAACCGCTCAGGGATTTCACCATAAGGCCAATGCTGACATTAAAAAAGTTACAGAGTTTAATGGGTGTGAAAGGAGAACTGAGGATGGATCAACAACATTGTAGTTACTCCACAATACTAACGTGCTGCGGGGACTTGCTTCCATTCATCCACAAGAGCATTAGTGAGGTCGGGCACTGATTTTGGGCGATTAGGCCTGGATCGCAGTCTGCGTTTCAATTCATCCCAAAGGTGTTCGATGGGGTTGAAGTCAGGACTCTGTGCAGGCCAGTCAAGTTCATCCACACCAATCTCGATAAACCATTTCTGTATGGACCTTGCTTTGTGTACAGGGGCATTGTCATGCTGAAACAGGAAAGGGCCTTCCCCAAACTGTTGCCACAAAGTTGGAAGCACAGAATCGTCTAGAATGTCATTGTCAGCCGTTGTTGCTCTTAGACGTTTCCACTTCACAATAACAGCACTTACAGTTGACCTTGGCAGCTCTAGCAGGGCAGAAATTTGACAAACTGACTTGTTGGAAAGGTGGCATCCTATGACGGTGCCCCATTGAAAGTCACTGAGCTCTTCAGGAAGGCCATTCTACTGCCAATGTTTGTCTATGGAGATTGCATGCATGTGTGCTCGATTTTTATACACATGTCAGCAACGGGTGTGGCTGAAATAGCCAAATCCACTAATATGAAGGGGTGTCCACATACTGTTGTGCATATATAGTGTAAATGACAGAGTGAAAAGAAGGAAGCCTGTACAGAATAAAAATATTCCAAACATGCATCCTGTTAGCAATGAGGCACTAAAGTAAAACTGCAAAAAATGTGGCAAAGAAATAAACTTTATGTCCTGAATACAAAGCACTATGTTTGGGGCTAATCCAACACATCACAGAGTACCACTCTTCATATTTTCAAGCATGGTGGTGCTGCATCATGTTATGAGTATGCTTGTCATCGGCAAAGACTAGGGAGTTATTTTTTTAATGTAAGGAAACGGAATAGAGCTAAGCACAGGCACTGCTTTCCTACAGAAACTGGGAGACAAATTCACCTTTCAGCAGGACAATAACCTAAAAAACAAGGCCAAATATTCACTGGAGATGCTTACCAAGATGACATTGAATGTTCCTGAGTGGCCTAGTTACAGTTTTGACTTCCAGAGTTACTCTTAGGAGTTCAGCTTCTTCAACTTCAACAATGCTTTTGGTTTTAGATGTATTTCAGACCAGTTTGTTGTTAATTACCCATTCTGACACTGACTGTAACTCCCTTCTAAGAGTCTCAGTGAGCTTACTGGCTGTAGGTGCTGATGTGTAGAGTGTGCAATCATTAGCATACATAGTCATTTTAGCTTTTTGTAAGACAGGTGGCAAATCATTTGTAAAAATAGAGAAGTGTAACGGCCCAAGGCAAATGCCCTGAGGGATACCGCACTGTACATATCTGATGTTGGAGAAGCTTCCATCGAAGAACACTCTCTGGGTTCTATTGGATAAGTAACTCTCCAACCATGTGATGGCAGGTGATGTAAAGTCATAACAAGTGAGTTTTTTCAATAACGTCTAAGGCTGCACTGAAATCAAACAAAGTTAAAGTTATGGTCAAAGAACAGTAGTCTCAGAAATCCCAGACCTAGGGCTAGAGAGACGATGTTGGGACCAGCATTCTATTATGATTTTTTTTGGGGTTGTGAATATCACATCAAAATTATATTCCTCATGTGCTCAGTATTGTGAGAATAAAGTGACAATAACATTTCCCCCCTAAAGTTCCAGAACTTCCAGACCTATACAGATATTCAAGGGAAAAAATGTATAATAACCAAAAACTGTAATAAGAACTGTGTGGAAACTTTTTGGAAGAGCTTTTATAAAGATGCAGAATGGCATGATCATGTATCAGCATCTGGCAAACAATCTTCGGTTATCATGCGGTGCTGATTGTCATGGCAACCAGTTTCTTTGCAGTCTTTTTTTGATTTTGAGGCTTTGCTTTATGTTCACAAATTGTAAAAGTTGTTTGTGTAATGTCTTTGATAATGTACTAAATACATGAAAATAAAGGTAAGCGCTCTAGTTCTTGTGGAAGTATAGCTAGCTAGTTTACGTACATATTAGAAGAAGAATGACTAAATGCAACACGACCAAAATGACACTGTAGAATGCCATTCTCTTCCTGTGTGGGTGTTTGCTTCCGGTGTGAATGAGCGAATGATTGTAGCCGCTAGCGAGCTAACGAAAAGGAGCTTTTTAAAGCTAGCTAGCGAACACATGATAAGGGCAATGACGCAAATCGGTACAAACTGCCAGTTTCTCTTAAACAAAAAGTAGATGTCTACTGTGTCTTTCCAAAGAAGAAAGACCATCATCATCTGAAAACAATGATAGCCAACTGTGGTAAGCTAGCTTGTTAGTTAGCCAACTGTACTAGTTAAACCGCAGTGGTAAGGAAAAATCCGAGATTCTTTAGCTAGCTAACGTTACTGCTCACCACGGAAGAGAAGAGGCAACGCAGCTAAGGGAGTCGTTGATAAACAATTTAATATAGTTATCACGAGAGTTTACGAAGTTATTTTAGCTTGTTAGCTAGCCAAACACTCCGTCTCAATTCTGATAGCTAATTTAGCGTTGGCTGTTTTATTTGATGTGGCCTAACTAGCATGCTAATCGAGCGTTCATGTTTGCAAAGTGAAATAGCCCGTTTCTGTTCGAAACAGGGATCTTTCATGATGTGATTGCTGCCAAAGCTCTATGTCAGCCATTCTGTTTAATCCGAAACATTATAATGCATTTGTTTATAAGTATTATCTCGAAATTACGAGTTGGTGTCTTGTTTTGGAAGCACAACTAAGGTTAGCTAGCTAAGTAGCGATGGTTGGCATATAGCTAGCTGCTAACTAACTGTTTGGTTATAGCTAACGTTAGCTTGTATAAGTGTTTTCAGTTGACAATTCAGCTAGCTAGCTAGGTAGCTTGCTATGTTTGTTGGTCGAGTGCATTGGTTGGCATATAACGTCTGGAGGAAATTGTTGATAGCTAAAATAACATGTAGGCAACTGCTAGCTAGCATTACCTAGCCAGCTAACATAGATAACAGTAAATTACGTTAGATTGTGTATATCAATCAGTAGGTGACAGGATAGTGGGAGTATTGTTGGCCTTGAAGCTAACGTTGTAGCTACCGAGGGATTCATGAAAAATAGGATTCCTAGTTAGTTGACTTATGAACTAAGTTACCTAATGGATAATGGGTATCTAGCTAGCTTTCTGCATTGACTGATTCAGATACTTTAGGGTAGTAGTATACATATATCTATGGAGTATCATTGCAGATGATTATTATGATCATCTCTCAGGATTCATAAAGCTTCCGATCTCATGAGGTTGAGGACTCCAAATACATATCTAAAGAATTGAGTCCAACCTAGTTACGGCTCCATCTCTGAGTAGGAGCATTATTATAATTGTCTGTGACATTAGACAGGTGCTCAGCGTCTTACTCTGAAGGATGTTATCAGGACCTACTCTTAATTTATTGAAGTGTGACTCAAAATGCTGGAAATGTGTGAAGAAACCAACCAAAGCAGTTGTGATTTTTCTTCCAGATGAATGTTGTTATTTAATCAATGGGTCACCACCAGTGTGCCAAAAAGTAATTCTCCAGATAAAGCAAGGATTACTTTTTTGCAAGAACTGCACAGCAAAGCAGCCCAGTCTGGGTCAAGAACATGCACGGTCTCCCTTGAGATACACTAAGGACTATACACCAGAAAGTGAAGAGGACTGTTTTCAACTGACTCATTAACTTTTCATCCTCAATGGAAGTGCCATTGTAGATACGTGAACGGGTGGCTAAAACTGGATCGTTTGGAGCTCCAGCCTTAGAGGAAACCTTGGAACCCTGGGTTGGCTGCTCTGAGGGGGACAATGGGTTCCCAAGCTCTTCAGATACTGCGGCAGGGGGTGTGGGCTTCGCTCACAGGAGGCTGGTATGTGGACCCCCATCAGAGCACGTTCTCCAACTGCTTCCACCTGTACCTCTGGATCTTTCTCCTGGCCTTCCCTTTCCTGCTCTACATGGTGAGGATTCAAATTATTTCTGTAGATAAAGGGTGGAAGAATTCCTTTTCTCTAACTGAATTGACTGGATGTCACGTTAGTCATGCACTTTTTACATACTGCACTAAGAAATGTGTATCAGCCACTATTCAGGTCAAACTGGTTTTATCATAGGACAGGAGAACAGGATAATGTTGGTAATGTAGTCCCCTGTAGCTCAGTTGGTAGAGCATGGCGCTTGCAACACCAGGGTTGTGGGTTCGTTTCCCACGGGGGGCCAGTATGAAAATGTATGCACTCACTAACTGTAAGTCGCTCTGGATAAGAGCGTCTGCTAAATGACTAAAATGTAAATGTAATAAAGTGGAACAGAGCGTACCATTTCCCCTCCGTATTCAAAACAGTATTTTTTTCACACTTGATGTCCTATTCCTTCTCTTTACTTTAATGTTTAAGCTTTTGTGGTCAAACATGTTAGTATTTGCTCTAGTGAAGAGTGTTACCTGTAAACCAGGCCTGTTATGTCCTTTCAAGCTGTCATGTCTATCATCTTTGAAGAGTGGTCCTTCCTTGTCTGTAATATGATGCCCAACATGTCCATGTGCCTGCCTATCAAGGTGGACCATTTGTTGTTAGTTCTTTTACTGGTATTGAGAACAAGGCGTTGTTTCACTACCCTCATCATGGGCTAGCCTACTTTAATTCCTAGCTCTGGACTCAATCTTTCTTCTCCCCTCCCCTCTTTCGTCCTTCCGTCCAGTCTCTCCCCCCCAGCCTGGTTGTGGCAGGTGTGTACTGTGCTGTGGTGGCGGCTTTCTTCACAGCCATAAAGGCAGTGAACTTCCGCCTCCATGCCATGTTCGACCTGGGGGAGATAGTGGAGAAGAGGCAGGCCTCGCTCATAACCGACGCCCCACGGCTAGAAGAGGGGGATGATGGGTCAGGAGGCCACGATGGGAACCAGCATGGGTACTGGCCGAGATTTCCAAATCCTAATGGAATCCTTTTTTGTCAAATCATGTCAAAACAAGATGTCATTCTATGTACATCCGAGTGAAGAAGCTCATTTATGTTGATGCTTTGAGGGCTGTTATTTCACATGTTTGTGGACAGATTTGAGTGTTATGTTTTCTCATGTTGGTATGTTCCCCTCTCAGGGACAGCAATGTTGGTGTGGAGATGACTGTGTTCAGAAAGGTCAACTCAACACCTCCAGTTCGCTGCAGCTCCCAGCACTCTCTGTTTGGACTCAACCAGGTGTCGGTGAGGACTGCCTTGCATTTACACCATATATATATATATATATATATATATAGTTCCATGCAGCAATCTGCGCACTTCATGCACAGGAACATGAAATTATTGGGTTGTTTAATCCCATACAAATTATTTATATTCCTGTGATATTCATTCTTAATCTAACAAATTATTGTTTTTTCCTCAGGAGTTTTTGCCTCAGCTTGATGACAGTGGAGGCTCCAAGGGTATAGTATTAATCTAACCGCAGTGTATGGGTTGGTAAAGCAGATCTGAGTAAGGGATGCTGTGTTTTTTATCCAACATGGGCAACAGTGTAATTTAGGAACTGCTTCTTCTCTTCTCAGATATCAAGGATCTGATGCGAGAGCAAGGCAGCAATAACTTGATTGTCACGTCAGCACACCGGGAGGTCCTCCGCCACAGCTCCCAGGACCCCATCCGTAAGCACAGCATTACACTGCAAATAGATCTAGAATCTTTTGTCCATGTGCCAAATAGTGATATGAAGTTTATTTAATCCAACACAAAACAATTTAGCTATGTTTGTCTTTGCTTTGGCATTTGTGTACTTAGTTTGGACTTTTACTTCTTACAGATGTTGCCAACGTTGCCAGCATGGTCCAGTCCTGCTTGGCTGCTGCTCTAGGGGGAGAGTTCCCTGGCCTAAGGGGAGTGGGAGCAGGGATGTCAGGGGGATTTGGTAGCTTACAACCTGGGGAGTGCATCTCCATCCCCCCCTCCCCCTCCAGTCAGGAAGACGGAGGAGAGAAGGGCCAGTTGGAAGAGATTGAGGGGATGCTGGAGCAGCTGTCCCAGCAGAGTCCTGACGAAGATGTGATCGTGATGGGGGCCTACTCCCCCCTGGGCCCCTCTGCTGATTCGGGGAGCCTGGGGGACGCTCCCATCAGCCCCCTCATAAAGAGCAGTCTGAGTGAGGAGCTAAGTGAGAACCTGTTGGGGCTGGGCCTTGACCCCGTGGCCTTCGCCCCAGGAACAGAGCACCCAGGCAGCCGCAGTGGGGTGGCCATGGCTGCCGGCTCCACAGACAGCTGCTTCAGCGGGGGCGGGGCGGCCACGGACCGCGAGACCCTCAGCACCGTCAGCAGCTACCGCAGTGAGAAGACTGACTCCACCCAGCTGGAAAGCCCTTCACTCAGCCTGCCACGGAACATAGACTCGGGGACCCCAACCTCTGCCCCAGCCCTGGGCACCAATACGCTAGAGCCAGCAGAGGAGCCAGTGCTGCAGGGGGGAAGTGATACTGACGACCTGTCGGACAGCGAACTGCTGCACTCCCCTGCCAAAGAGCGCTCTCTGGGCCAGGAGCTTGATAGGACACTAGTGGAAGGGGAGGACTTGCCCCCTGTCCCCTCAGATATTGCACATCCCCCCTCCCTCCAGGACTCATCTCCCTCCAGTAGTGGGCACTCAGAGTCCTGTGATCTGGACAGGAGGGTTCCCCCCCTCCCCCCTCCGAGGCAGGCCAGCTCGGTGCCGTCAGGGCTGGCCCTGGGTCTAGTGTGTTCTGAGCCTGCTCTGCCCGTCTCCTCCACCCCCTTCCTGCACTCTGAGCAGCCCTCTCTGCAGGCCCAGCAGGTGGTGCGCCCCAAAGACTTGAAGCTGCTGCGGACCGGTGGGAGTAGTGTGGGCCACCGGCCTGGCCGCAGGAAAGCCCCTCGCAAGCGAGGTGGAGCGGGAAACAGCAGCTTTGACTGCGGCTCCTACAGGCGGCACCACAACCACGGGCAGCACAGAGACTACATCCCAGTGCGCAGCCGGCTGGGGGCTAAGGCCTACAGCGAGAGCCTGTTTGAGGACTCCAGTGATGAAGATGACGGCAGTGACATGAGCGCCGGCTCCAGTCTGGGCTCCCAGAGACGCTACAGCTCTGACGATGACGATGACGACTCGAGCTCCTCTACCTCCTGCTACTCCCCCGACCTCGCTAACGCTGGCATTACGAACCCACCCCCCTCCTCCACCCAGCTGCCCACCCCCAGGGAAGGAGAGTTGTCTGAGATGGCTGGTCCCTCGTACTCCCAGAGGGCTCAGAGGTCAGCTAGCACGGCTAGTGCTAAGACTCACGCCAGGGTGCTCAGTATGGACGGGGCCGGTGGGGGCCACACTAACACTGTGGCCCTGCCCTCCACCATGCTGACCTCCTCCACCCCTGCTCCACGACCCCTCACCGTCTCCAAGTCAGACCTGGAGGCCCGGACCAGCCACACAGATGGCTTCCCTGGAACTCACCACCACCGCCTGGACTCTCTGGGAGGCTCCTGGGCTGGCAACCAGACGGGCTGGAGGGCTGGGGAACTGGTGGAGGAGGGAGCTGTGGGGGGAGGTGAGACATATTATTCTCTCTAACTCTGGGCCTTTATTCATAAAGTGTGCTGAGATAGGATCAGGTCGCCCTGACCATTCATTATAATCTAAAAGGCAAAACTGATTCTAGATCAGCAACCCTACTGATAAACAGTCCAATTCAAGATAGAAAGCTCTGAAATGTGAAACTGTTTCATTGAAAGACTGATTGTTTGCTATATTTACTCCATTAATCAGGGTCAGGTATTTCTAGAACTCAACATCTGAAATGAACATCCTTGTACTCATGTGAATATCTGCTGCCCCCAGCTCTGGCCCCAGAGGAGGGGGGCAAGCGGGACTCGGTGAGCAGTGTGAAGAGGACCCAGGCCATCCGCAGGCGACACAACGCGGGGAGCAATCCCACACCACCCCCCTCTACCATGGGCTCCCCACCCAGGTTGGTCTAGTCAAACACTTCCACACCAACACTCTTGATATATGTCTTATGCCAATCACCTCTGTATGTACATGCTACGTAAAGCCCATCTCCTGTGTCTTCCTGTAGTCTCCAGGACCTCCAGCGTGCCCGTACCTCCTCACACTCGCGCACCCGGACCCTGCCCTCTGCCTTACAGTTTGCCACATCACTACTGCTGCCCCGCGGGGGGGTCCACGAAGCCTCTACCTTCGACGACACCACAGAGGGGGCTGTGCACTACTTCTATGACGAGGGCGGTGAGTGTGTGGGGATGCTAGGCTGGGGCTAGCTTTAGGGAAGGGAAGAGTTAGAATCTTCGTCGGGGGAAGGGGGGGTGGGGGGGAGGCATTGGGCAGGTGGAAGGGGGGCCCTCTCCTTTTAATAAACCTAGCCTGAAGAGAGCGAGAAATAAGCCCCTTTGTTCGTGGGCTTTACTGAGGCATTCATGTATTTAAATGTGCAATGCAAATGATTCCGTCCTAGTTTACAGTGTAGTTGATGCTTTGTTTTTTTCAGGAGTGAAGAGATCGTACACGTTTGGACCTGCTGGAGGCGGTTATGAGGATCCAGTGGCGTAAGTGTCTCTCTCTGATGAGCGTTAGGCTTTTTGCTTGAAACTGATTTTGATATGTCTGAGCCCCTCCCTCTTCTTCTCCTCTCAGGGAGCGGGAAAGACAGTCCCAATCCTCCAGCTTCACCTCCACTGATGTCCAGGAGGGGGCCCCGGTGCTCACCATGCTCCAGCCCAGGCCTGTGGTTCTGCAGGGCATGCAGGTACGCAGGGTGCCCCTGGAGATGTCAGAGATGCCAGAGGTGAGAGAAACACCATTAGAATTTCTGTTTCAACAGCTTTGTTCTAAAGCTGTATCCGTACCCATTGGATGCAGTGATCACAATATAGTGGCTATATCCAGGAAAGCCAAAGTTCCAAAAGCTGGGCTTAAAATAGTGTATAAGAGATCATACAAAAGATTTTGCTGTGACTCTTATGTGGATGATGTTAAAAATATTTGTTGTTCTGATGTGATTAATAAGGAGCATCCAGACGCTGCACTTGATTCATTTATGATATTGTTTTTTCCAATTATTGATAAACATGCACCTGTTAAGAAACTGACGTTTAGAACTGTTAAGGCTCCATGGAGTGATGAGGAATTGAAAAACTGTATGGCTAAAAGAGATGGGGCAAAAGGAGTGGCTAATAAGTCTGGCTGCACATCTGACTGGTTGACTTAATGCAAATTGAGAAAATATGTGACTAAACTGAACAAAAAGAAGAACACCAAGAGCGTTGTGCCAGTAACCGAAAGGTCGCTGGTTCTAATCCCCGAGCCGACTAGGTAAAAAAATCTGTCGATGTGCCCTTGAGCAAGGCACTTAACCCTAATTGCTCCTGTGAGTCGCTCTGGATAAGAGCGTCTGCTAAATGACTAAAATGTAAATGTAAGAAGAAACTGTATTATGAAGCCAAGATCGATGATATTAAAACTTTTGAGTACTTTAAATTATGGACAGAAAGACAAATTCAACTCCATCTTTCATCGAATCAGATGGCTTATTTATAACAAAACCATTTGATGTTGCCAATTATTTTAATGTTTACTTCATTGGCAAAGTGGGCAAACTTAGGCAGAAAATGCCAACAACGAACAGTGAGCCATCGTAATCATGTATAAAAAATAAAAATAAATAATGAAAGAAAACATTGCAAGTTTGAATTTTGTAAAGTTAGTGTGGGAGAGGTGGAAGAATTATCGATCAATAATGACGAACTTCCTGGCATTGACAACTTAGATGGAAAGCTACTGAGGATGGTAGCTGACTCTATAGCCACTCCTATCTGTCATATCGTTAATCTGAGCATAGAGGAAAGTATTTTGTCCTCAGGCCTGGAGGGAAGCCAAAGTCATTCCGCTACCCAAGAGGGGTAAAGCGGCCTTTACTGGTTCTAACAGCAGACCTATCAGCTTGCTGCCAGCTCTTAGCAAACTGTTGGATAAAATGGTGTTTGACCAAATACAATGCTACTTCTCTGTAAACAAATTAACAACATACTTTCAGCATGCTTATAGAGAAAGGCACTCAACATGTACTGCACTGACACAAATGACTGATGATTGGTTGAAAGAAATTGATAATAAGAAGATTGTGGGAGCTGTACTGTTAGATTTCAGTGCAGCCTTTGATATTATTGACCATAACCTGTTGGTGTGAACTTATGTGTTATGGTCTACTCTTTTCTATTTTTACCAATGACCTGCCACTGGCATTAAACAAAGCATGTGTGTTCATGAATGCTGATGATTCAACCATATACTTATCAGCAACCACAGCTAATGAAGTCACAAACCCTTAACAAAGTGTTTTGGAATGGGTGGCCAGTAATAAACTGGTCCTGAACATCTTTAAAACTAAGAGCATTGTATTTGGTACAAATCGATCCCTAAGTTCTAGACCTCAGCTGAATCTGGTAATGAATGGTGTGGCTGTTGAACAAGTTGAGACTAAATTACTTAGTGTTACCTTAGATTGTAAACTGTCATGGTCAAAGCATATAGATTCAATGGTTGTAAAGATGGGGAGAGGTCTGTCCGTGATAAAGAGATGCTCTGCTTTTTTGACACCACACTCCACAAAGCAAGTCCTGCAGGCTCTAGTTTGTCCAGCCATGTGGTGAAGTGCTGCAAAGAAATATCTAGTTAAGCTGCAGCTGGCCCAGAACAGAGTGGCACGTCTTGCTCTTCATTGTAATCAGAGGGCTAATATGAATACTATGCATGCCAGTCTCTATTGGCTAAGAGTTGAGGAAAGACTGACTGCGTCACTTCTTGTTTTTAGAAGAAACATTCATGTTGGAAATTACAAATTGTTTGCAGTCAACTTCCACACAGCACTTACACCACTTTTTCACAGTACCAGGTCCAGAACAAATTTAATGAAACGTACAGTATTATACAGAGCCATGAGTGCATGGAACTCCCTTCCATCTTATATAGCTCAAGTGAACAGCAAACCTGTTTTCAAAAAAACAAATTGAGCAACACCTCACGGCACAACGCTTCTCCCCCATGTGATCTACTTGTTGTGTGTATGTACTGACATGTATGTGTAACTGATAGATGCGCGCACACACAATGTATGTAAATTGTAAAGTATTTTGTCTTTAATGTTGTTTTTTTTTATATGTTGGACCCCAGTAAGACTAGCTGTCGCTACTTGTTTCTAATGGGGATCCTAATAAATCAAATCAAAATCATGTATTTCAGACAAATTAACCCTCTGGACATTTCTTGTATATTCCTGTAAATGTGGCTTTATTATTTTATCAAATATGCATGATATTTGACTCGAATTCCCCCTCTCTGTCTCTAGTTTGACCTGGACCATGAGTCTCTCCATGAGTCCCAGGAGAACACGCTGATGATCGAGGAGAAGGCCAAGCCAAAACAGTACTACCGCTTCTGGGTGCTGCCAGGGAAGTGGCTGAGGGTACGTTACGACCGTCTGGCCCTGCTGGCACTACTGGACAGGTGAGACACAGCAGCTAGCTAGTTTATCTCCGTGGTAATATGATCCAATGTTTGTCATCTGTATTGAGGAGGAAGCCATGGTTCCATTAGAGGTCTGTCTATACTGTGGAGTGACAGTGTTAGGGTTACTGCTAGCTTTCTCAAAACTCTGGATTTCTGGATTTTGCAACCCTGGACAGTGTAAATGACCTCCTGTCCTCCATTGTGTCTGTCCTGTAGGAACCGTGGTGTAGGAGAGAATGTGTTTGCGGTGGTGCTGGCCAGCATGGTGGCCTTCCTGGGGTTCCTGCTGCTCCTGGAGGGCTTCTTCAGGGACATCTGGGTCTTCCAGTTCTGCCTGGTCATCGCCAGCTGTCAGTACTCACTACTAAAGGTACACAACACAAGTCATAAGGATTCATTACAGTTCTACTCAATTCCTATATTCCCATTTTATTAGTTTATACAGTAAAAGAAAATCAACTGCCGACGCATTTGATGAAACCGTAATAGACCAGTGTTAACTTGAAGTAAACTAATGTGTTAAAACGTTTGAAATTACACTTTGTCTCTCCTTCCTCAGAGTGTTCAACCAGATGCAGCCTCCCCAATGCATGTAAGTGGATGATGTCATTCAAACATCTGCCTTGGTCATTATCAAGTTAGTAACCAATCCATTGTTGATTTTTGTTTTGATGGCACAACCTGATGACTGTCTGGTCTAACCCATCAGGGCCATAACTGGATCATTGTGTACAGTCGGCCCGTCTACTTCTGCCTGTGCTGTGCTCTCATCTGGGTGTTAGACCTGGCAGGGCGCTCAGGCCACCTGCAGCCCTTCTCCCTCTACGGCGTCACCTTCTTCTCCGCTCACTTCCTGCTCTGTGCCAGGGACGTGCTCATAGGTCAGTCAGTGTTAGCCACTTTTAGCTGTGTGCTTTTATTTCTTTTGTAATCGTGTTGTGACCAACAGACTCATTCACGCCCTTTCTCCCTCTCTATCTCTTTCTTCCCCCTCAGTGTTTGCCTTGTGTTTCCCTGTCATTTTCCTGTTTGGCCTTCTACCTCAGGTCAATACCTTCCTCATGTGTCTGCTGGAGCAGGTTGACATGCACATTTTTGGGGGAACAGGTAAGACAGGGCCACGCGGTGAGACATTCACTGTAATTCACAAAGTAATTTCTCTGTTTTTTGTCGAGTGATGCATGTTGACCGTGTGTGTGGTGTTTCTCTCCACAGCCACCACCAGCCCTCTGTCGTCTCTTTACAGCCTGTTACGCAGTGTGCTGGTGGCCGCGTTGCTCTATGGATTCTGCCTCGGTGCTATCAATGCGCCCTGGGAACATCCCCATGTGCCAGTGCTGTTTTCAGTGTTCTGCGGCCTGCTCCTGGCCCTCTCCTACCACCTGAGCCGCCAAAGCAGTGACCCTGTCATCCTGTGGTCAGTATACCTCTTCTCTTTAGTGTTAAACGGCATGCCGAAACGTCTGTATTTTTTTGTATATATATATATATACACACACACACAGTGGGGAGAACAAGTATTTGATACACTGCCGATTTTGCAGGTTTTCCTACTTACAAAGCATGTAGAGGTCTGTAATTTTTATCATAGGTACAAAAATCCAGAAGATCACATTGTATGATTTTAAAGTAATTAATTCACATTTTATTGCATGACATAAGTATTTGATACATCAGAAAAGCAGAACTTAATATTTGGTACAGAAACCTTTGTTTGCAATTACAGAGATCATACATTTCCTGTAGGTCTTGACCAGGTTTGCACACACTGCAGCAGGGATTTTGGCCCACTCCTCCATACAGACCTTCTCCAGATCCTTCAGGTTTCGGGGCTGTCGCTGGGCAATACGGACTTTCAGCTCCCTCCAAAGATTTTCTATTGGGTTCAGGTCTGGAGACTGGATAGGCCACTCCAGGACCTTGAGATGCTTCTTACAGAGCCACTCCTTAGTTGCCCTGGCTGTGTGTTTCGGGTCGTTGTCATGCTGGAAGACCCAGCCACGACCCATCTTCAATGCTCTTACTGAGGGAAGGAGGTTGTTGGCCTAGATCTCGCGATACATGGCGCCATCCATCCTCCCCTCAATACGGTGCAGTCGTCCTGTCCCCTTTGCAGAAAAGTATCCCCAAAGAATGATGTTTCCACCTCCATGATTCACGATTGGGATGGTGTTCTTGGGGTTGTACTCATCCTTCTTCTTCCTCCAAACACGGCAAGTGGAGTTTGGACCAAAAAGCTCTATTTTTGTCTCATCAGACCACATGACCTTCTCCCATTCCTCCTCTGGATCATCCAGATGGTCATTGGCAAACTTCAGACGGGCCTGGACATGCGCTGGCTTGAGCAGGGGGACCTTGCGTGCGCTGCAGGATTTTAATCCATGACGGCGTAGTGTGTTACTAATGGTTTTCTTTGAGACTGTGGTCCCAGCTCTCTTCAGGTCATTGACCAGGTCCTGCCGTGTAGTTCTGGGTTGATCCCTCACCTTCCTCATGATCATTGATGCCCCACGAGGTGAGATATTGCATGGAGCCCCAGACCGAGGGTGATTGACCGTCATCTTGAACTTCTTCCATTTTCTAATAATTGCGCCAACAGTTGTTGCCTTCTCACCAAGCTGCTTGCCTATTGTCCTGTAGCCCATCCCAGCCTTGTGCAGGTCTACAATTTTATCCCTGATGTCCTTACACAGCTCTCTGGTCTTGGCCATTGTGGAGAGGTTGGAGTCTGTTTGATTGAGTGTGTGGACAGGTGTATTTTATACAGGTAACGAGTTCAAACAGGTAAAGTTAATACAGGTAATGAGTGGAGAACAGGAGGGCTTCTTAAAGAAAAACTAACAGGTCTGTGAGAGCCGGAATTCTTACTGGTTGGTAGGTGATCAAATACTTATGTCATGCAATAAAATGCAAATTAATTACTTCAAAATCATACAATGTGATTTTCTGGATTTTTGTTTTAGATTCCGTCTCTCACAGTTGAAGTGTACCTATGATAAAAATTACAGACATGTACATGCTTTGTAAGTAGGAAAACCTGCAAAATCGGCAGTGTATCAAATACTTGTTCTCCCCACTGTATATATATATATAATATATGTTTTTTTTTAAATGTATATTATTTAAAATGTGTATATATATATATATTATTTAAAATATAAATTTCACGGACAGTATATTTTACGTTAGTTATCTTTTTTTGTTGTTGGTCTCAGCCTTCAGCTACCCTCAACCCCTCCCATCTATCTCTGAAGACCATCCAGATTTGATTTCTAGCTGCCATATATTTTCTCACTGTGCTGTGATGGTCCACAAAAGTTCTGAGCTTTTCTATGCTCATAGTTTCTACAGATTGTAAATTAAAGATAAACACCTCTACTAAGGGTATTATTCCAGTGCCTTCGGAAAGTATTCAGACCCTTTCCCTTTTTCCACATTTTGTTACGTTACAGCCTTATTCTAAAATTGATTAAATTATTTTTTCCCTCATCAATCTATACACACTACACCATAATAACAAAGCGAAAACAGGTTTTTTGAAATGTTTGAACATTAATTAAAAATAAATTCAGAGTGCTAGCTGTGCCAGCAGTGCTAGCTGTGCCAGCAGTGCTAGCTGTGCCAGCAGTGCTAGCTGTGCCACTAGATATCCTGGTTCGAATCCAGGCTCTGTCGTAGCCGGCCGCGACCGGGAGACCCATGGGGCGGGGCACAATTGGCCCAGCGTCGTCTAGGGTAGGGGAGGGAATGGCCGGCAGGGGATGTAGCTCAGTTTGTAGAGCATGGCGTTTGCAACGCCAGGGTTGTGGGTTCGATTCCCACGGGGGTATGAAAAAAAAAAAAGAAAGAAATTGATGTATGCACTAACTGTAAGTCGCTCTGGATAAGAGCGTCTGCTAAACGACTTAAATGTAAAAAACAGATTAAGATCCTTTGCTATGAGACTCGAAATTGAGCGCAGGTGCATCCTGTTTCCATTGATTATCCTTGCAATGTTTCTACAACTTGATTGGAGTCCACCTGTGGTAAATTCAATTGATTGGACATGATTTGGAAAGGCACACCAGTCTATATAAGGTCCCATAGTTGACAGTGCATGTCAGAGCAAAAACCAAGCCATGAGGTTGAAGGAATTTTCCGTAGAGACCCCGAGACAGGATTGTGTCGAGGCACAGATCTGGGGAAGGGTACCAAAACATTTCTGCAGCATTGAAGGTCCCCAAGAACACAGTGGCCATCATTCATTCTTAAATGGAAGATGTTTGGGACCACCAAGACTTCCTAGAGCTGGCCGCCTGGCCAAACTGAGCAATCGGGGGATAAGGGCCTTGGTCAGGGAGGTGACCAATAACCTTATGGTCACTGACAGAGCTCCAGAATTCCTCTGTGGAGATGGGAGAACCTTCCAGAAGGACAACCATCTCTGCAGCACTCCACCAATCAGGCCTTTATGGTAGTGGCCCGACGGAAGCCACTCCTCAGTAAAAGGCACGACAGCCCACTTGGAGTTTGCCTAATGCACTCTCAGACCATGAGAAACAAGACTCTCTGGTCTGATGAAACCAAGATTGAACTCTTTGGCCTGAATGCCAAGCGTTACGTCTGGAGGAAACCTGGCACCATCCCTACAGTGAAGCATGGTGGTGGCAGTGTCATGCTGTGGGGATGTTTTGCAGCGGCAGGGACTGGGAGACTAGTCAGGATCGAGGGAAAGATGAACAGAGGAAAGTACAGTGAGATCCTTGATGAAAACCTGCTCCAGAGCGCTCAGGACCTCAGACCGGGGCGAAGGTTCACCTTCCAACAGGACAACGACCCTAAGTACACAGCCAAGACAACGCTGGAGTGGCTTCGGGACAAGTCTCTGAATGTCCTTGAGTGGCCCAGCCAGAGCCCGGACTTAAACCCGATCGAACATCTCTGGAGAGACCTGAAAATAGCTGTGCAGAGAAGAATGGGAGAAACTCCCCAAATACAGGTGTGCCAAGCTTGTAGCGTCATACCCAAGAAGACTCTATGCTGTAATCGCTGCCAAAGGTGCTTCAACAAAGTACGGAGTAAAGTGTCTGAATAATTATGTAAATGTAATATTTCCGTTTATTCTTTTAAAAATATACATTTGTAAAAATGTCTAAAAACCTGTTTTTGCTCTTTCATTATGGGGTATTGGGTGTAGATTGATGAGGAAAAAATGTAATACATTTTAGAAAAAGGCTGTAACATAACAAAATGTGGAAAAAGTCAAATGGTCTGAATACTTTACGAATGCACTGTATATTATTGATCGATTTGACTATTACTTTTCAAATCACACAGCAGTGCTATTTGCAGAGATAGTTCCAAGTAAATGTTGCAATTTTTCAGCCATTCCTGAACCTGAGACCCAAAACGAGCTACAGTGCATTTGGAAAGTATCCCGTTTTTTAGTATATTTGAGTTTAACCATAATATTTGTTCTAATATTTGTCTTTTCTGGTGGATTAAACTGAAATTGCAACCACCTTTCTATTGCTTGTTTTAAAAATAGTGATATTTTGGGGATTATTTCATTTTCAAATAACCGAGAGTGAGAGGTTGTAATCTGAATTAAGGAGAAAGGCCATTCTTGAACACGGGGTAAGCCATTCTTACTAAACTGCTAGAGAACCAGTTCGGATTTAAGTATAGTTTTTGTATGACTAAAGCCTTTAAAATATTATCATTTCTGCCCTCCGAATTCATAGTAATTATATAAATAGGCCTGTTTAATTTTGTCTGGCTTGCCTTTCCAAATAAAGTTTAATATTTTTTGCTCATATAATTAAATGTAAATAAGTCGCTAGGTGTAGGCAGGGCCATAAGTAAATAGGTAAACTGGGACATGACTAAAGAATCAGGGTGATTTTTCCACCAATAGACAGGTGTTGTCCTTTCCATGGTAGTAAAATCTTATCTAATTTGGCTAACCTTCTATTAAAATGTATTGCAGTGAGATCAATTATTTCTTTCGGGATATGAATACCGACGAGTATGTCCACTTCTCCGTCTGACCATTTTATTGGTAAACTACACAGTAATGTAGAAGCACAATTATCTCAATCCTCTGAGGCTGTGCAGGGATCCAAATAACGGATTTAAAAGAAAACATGAATCTTCAGCGTACAATGACAGCTTTGTTTTTAAACCCTAGCACCTTGATATTATTGTTGGATCTGATTTTAATAGCTAACATTTCGATGGCCATAATAAGTAGATATGCCAATAGTGGACAACCTTGTTTTACTCCTCTTGACAATTTAATACTTTCTGAGAAGTATCCATTATTTACTATTTTACACCTGGGATTACTATACTTAACTTTAACCCATTGTATAATAGATTCTCCAAAATGAAAATAGTCCAGGCATTTACAGTGGTGGAAAAAAGTATTTAGTCA